CTTTATGGCTGCGAACATGCGTGTGTGCATATGCAAAATACATTTATGCATGCACGTTTAATGTATAACGGACGGTATAAGCTAAGCTAAAATTATCTAATTCAGTTAATGTTGCAGATTGCATTGTTCCTTAATCTTCGAATTGGATCTGGCTTATTATTTTTTGCAGACTGTTAGAGCAATTTTATAAAAGTAAGCTTGAACTTTCGATTATGTCAAATAGAATTTCTGATATATATTTACTAATATGTAAAGGATCTACAAAGCGAAAGTATGTTTCGAAGTCCATTAAACAATAAGTGGAACTGCTGCAAAAAATGGATAAAGGCATATCCTTTGTTTATCTAACCATTTCAAAATCTGTTTATCAATTTCAGGCTGCTCTGCGGAAGGGGGGACATCGCGGCGCACAATGAATTGGAAGTTGATCTGTCAGCACTATCCTTATCTTCAGGGCAGATGTTTTTATTTTATTTGGCTTATAATTCCTTCCTAAATGTAGTATTTTATCTTGACGTACTCTCTTTGATATGATTTAAATCAAATTCCTCGTCATTATAATTCGCTTCCGATAGCAAAGAAAGTGACACAGAGGTTATTGAAAACGAAAAAATTTCGATTGACAAATTAAAGAAATTATGTCTGTTTTGTTTATAGAATTAAAGAGAAAGTATTATCACATAAAAAAACGAAGCAACTTAAACAACTTACATTGAAAGAAATGTTTAATAATGTAAGCAAATAAATATTAAGCTTTTTTTTTTTTTTTTTTTTTTTTTTTGTAAATTTTGATACCCTTTAGATCATAATTGTTCTTTATTTCATAAATTACGGTTTCATCTTTTTATTTTTATAATTTCTGCATTCCATCTTATCAGATTTAAACTGATGATCTATAATCCGGAATCGCCGAAGTCCCGATGAGTCTGGATTAACGACTTTTGACTGTACTATGATACAAGAAGAATTGATATCATTAAAGGAGAATATTCAAACACGAATCTTAGTCAAAGCACATAGGTATACTTAAGTTCCAGAATTTAAAAAACATCCAAGGGAAATATCTCAAAATCGAACCAAAATTATCGACTTTTCCCTCTTCTCACTTAGTGGAAGTAGACTTTTAGTTAAGTCAATAATTAACTGTGCAAAACAATAAATAAGTGGAATATTTTTGAAAAAACAAATCTAAGAGTTGAATTATACCATTTTCTCACAAATATTAAAAAAAAATTACATCAATACAATGAACCACAGACACTGTATTAATTAAAATTAAACTTATGATTATCTTGTACGCTGTATATTATACAGAAAATTGCAAGGACGTTTATAAAGAAAACCATTCTTTTAAAATGGGTTGATGCAAGAAAACAAATCCCTGCTCTTGAGAAAGAAAAGGTGTAGAAAAGGGTGCCCCTTTACACTGGTACCAAATATCGGCATTAAGATTTTCTGGTACCCAGAATTGACTCTATTTGACAAAGTTTTTTGTTTCATTCTAATGTATTTTCATTTCTTAAGTTTTACCTCATAGGATATTCTTTACTGATCAAGATCTATGTGCATGTACTACAAATCACATATTTTGAATTATTGGAATTCTAACTATTGTTAATTGATTTTTGGTTTTTGTTAGCTGGCTAGTCCTAAATGATCACTGCCCCATCACTTTCACAAAAAAGTACGTAAGATAAATACTTTTTTTTTTTTTTTTCATTGTAAAGAATTGCACGAAATAGACTTTGCTGGAGGTGATATCTCTGAAAATCTTGCCTGGAAGCACGATTAACGTCCATACCGACACCATTGAAGGCATGTGGAGCCAGATTAAAAGGAAGATAAAATTTTCAGTTTTTATCAAGTAAAATTTTTATGGCATTATGGACAGTATCAGAAGAAAGAGGTTCCATCCCAAGACCACATAAATTGTATCAAAAGGTTGTATATGCTGCAGTCATTCGACAGTATGGTTAAAATACAGCTGAGAAAACCCAAGGTGTGTACTTTTGTTGTTTTTGTAACATAGCTTTTCGGCCTTGGGCTTTGGTGTAGAATTGGGTGCCCCTTCGATTTACGATATTTTAAAAAAAAATTGGCGATGAAGCCTCACTTTTGGTTACCACGATAGTTTTAACTTTGTTTTAGCTTCCAGATTTTATTCAAATGAAAATAGATTGATGTGTACATGGACGTATTTAAGGCAGTGCGCAATGCCTAGTTTGTGCAATTCTAGGATGCTTTTTTTAAGTAAAAACAGATCGGGCTTATCTTTGGAATATGGTAACAGGTAGTTTGGCGACATTTTGGTAAGGCGATAAAGGTTACTAGCTAGGACTTTAACAGTGTACATGGATAAAGTCAAGAGTGTGCGCAATGCCATTTTTGTGCAATTCTGGGTTGTTTTTTTTAAGTGAAAATAGGTCGACGTGTACATGGTTACCGTGTATGTGCAATTCTTAAAAACGCGGCAAGCAGTTTGCGATTGTGCACTTTCTCCCAATTTCGCACCTAATCTTCGAAGACTGTGTCTTGAATTTTAATGTGTGCTTTTAACTTGTGTTTATATGACTTCATCCTCTGGATTTGGTACATTTGTCTACTTGTTTTTATTTATTGAATTTTAATGTCATCAATTGTAATCATCCCATCTTGTGTTTGGCGCGTTATAATCATCTTCGGTTTCTGCGCCATAATCACTCACTCACTCACTCGCACCTAATCTTCGTCATGATTAAGCACTTTTGTTCCATAAAAGTTCTAGCATAAGTGTAATTCGGCTAGCAGATTGTTCGAAAAAAATTTTGAGTTAAAAAAAAAAAACAAAAAATGCCTTTGCTCGTGAAAACAAAATGGCGTCCAAACAAAAACTAGTAGGGTTGGTTGCCAAATTTTCGCCAAAAAAATCGCCAAGTTACCATAATCCAAAGATTCACCACAGATCGATGTGTACATGGACACAGATCTTGCACAATTCTTCGACTTCTTATTTTGGTTTTGTGCAGCGGCCATCTTGAAATTGTGTATTCCTCGTGCCGATCTTGGCATCAAAAAAGAATTGCCAATAAACAAAGGGCACCCAATTGTAAACTTTTACCCAGCCTTGTTTGGGGTGACAGTCATCTTGGAAATATTGCATTTTGGCACCAGAAAAGTGATAAAAAATATCGGTACTATTCAGTTTCGAGGGCCGTAAAAAAAGTGCAGCGAAAATGTACGTGCCAAATCTACCAAACGCGCACATTTAACAGTGCACCAAATCTAGTGTACGCACTGATTTCAGATTGCGTAAGTTTATATAGTTCTATATTTCTTAAGACGCCACTGAAATACTAGTTTAATTTTTAAATCCTTTTTTGATATCCTATGATTTAACTATTTGGGAATTGCCCATGAGAAAAACTCGGCAATAGAATTTTGGGTAAAGTGCAGAATCACCGACTGCTTGACGCGTTTTTAAGAATTGCACATACTCGGTATCCATGTGCACATCGACCTATTTTCACTTAAAAAAAAAATCCTATAATTGCACAAAATGGCACTGCGCACACCCTTGACTTTATCTATGTACACATCGACCTATTTTCACTTAAAAAGTAACAGAATATTGACAAAAATTCGATTGTTTTTACCCTTGTAAAAAGCGGCAAACAAATAAGTGAGCAATTCTGCACTTTACCGAAAATATTTTCAAAGAAAAGGCATCATTCATTATAGAAAATTACGTTGAACAACCAACGAGATGAAATTATGCTTTAGCGGTAAGTCGATAGCAAGATAGCGATGCAGGCATAAATTCAGTTATGTTTAGCAATTTTTATATAAATTGTAATAATGATCTAAAATAATTTACTCTTATGCTTCCATTCAATCATGTTTAGCCTTTTTCGTATAAATTATAATAATAAAAAAGTATTACTATATGAAATTAACCTTTCATCTAAATTAAAACATCAATCTTAAATAGTTATTTACTATTATCTTCCTTTCTTGCCACAATTATTTTTGGCAGCATTGGCATCAACAATAGTTTGGCGATTTTTTACGGCCCTCGAAACCGAATAGTACCAAAATATCAAATGCCCCCAATTGTAAATGTTTAAAACAAAAACAAACAAAAAAAACCACAATACGTACGTCAGAGTAATAGTGTGCTAGTACTCATACCTTATGATAGCCTTGAATGGAACTCAAATTTGCAGTATTAACCTTTTGAGGCCGGGGCTTTGGTAGCAGTAAAAGCTACCAAAGGACGGGGAATCTTGAACTGAATACTTTCCCCCCTTTAAGAAATCACCTCCTATTTGCAACAAAGATTCTTGTGTGTAGTTTAATGGATTCTCGGAGGGGTGCATCTATGTCGCAAAAAGAAGACCTTTGAAAAAGATAAGAGGTTAAAACCCTAGGGACGTCAAATTTGACATTTCACCCCACTTTTCAGCCTTGAAAATGGGGTAAAAAGATATGGCCACTAAAGTGGACAACCCCGTCTTTTCAAAGAGAGGACTCTATGGCCTCTATAATGGCCATCCCGTCTTCTTGTAAATTTTATCATCACAAATTACAAATAGAATTTGTTCAAAACTAAGTGAAATGACGTGCTAAGCTCATATGACTTTACCAGTAAATTATGATTTTTAGTTCTTGCTGACATGCTGCAGTTCTATGGGATAAATTGCTCACTTGTGTTATTAAAAAAAAACTATACCATACACTTTTTTTTTTCCACCATTATTCTTTACATTTGAATTATAAATAAATATTAAATCAAATTTAAATTATGAAAATCGGTAGTGTTGTGTAAACTGTACAAAAATCATTTAAAAAAGTCTTTACTAATATTACTATACATACACAGAGGTTTAATTGTCAAAGCACTATGTAAGAAATACAAGTACTGAAAATTAAGTAATGTATAAATGCAATCGCTAACACCATTGGAAATATTTCTGTCTCAAAGAAATAAATGAATGCATAAATTAAAAGATTTGAATGCTTACTTTCGGCAGAGCAGCGGTCATCATATTTCGAGCAAACTTTTATGCTACAATGGCTGCCTTCAAACCTTGAAAAAGCGCGTTTCTTCACTCTTCTTCGAGTGGGAAAACTTGCTCTTGTTTTCCTTCCCTCTCGTAAGGCTCAAAATCGTCGCTCCTCGTAATTGGATGAAAACTTTCAGTCTCAAGGAAATGAAAACTACGATGTTTAACTCAAGTTTACCAATTTTGAAGTAACAAAAGCTGAGATTTTATAAAATTACCGGGTGTCACGAAGAAGATAGCAAAACTAGAAGGTAAAAAGGCTGGAGTAACTACAGGTATAACTAACAGGGGTTCAACCTTTCTTACCTCCCTTTCGTTCTTGCAAACGATCATCCCCCTCTCCTTTCTAAAACACGAAAAATAGGTATACATTTATTTAAATTTAGATTATTCTTAATGTGTTTAATAAATTATGCAAGAAAAATATAAAGAATATTCGTAAATATCGAAACTTGAATAGAATTAAGGTTTTAATTAAGAACTAAACTAAATACTTAGCGGATAAACAAAATGTTGATCGCATCATCACCAGAGGGAATTCCTCCCCGTTGGGAAGTCTTGTGTAACATTTAGAATTTAGTAACTTGTAAATGGCAGCATTTAACATTTAGTAGCTCGTGAATGGCAACGATTGGGATGTACGTAATAGTCCGTCACAATTATGTACAGACACACGCCAAAACGCCAAAGGTGTGCGGAAAAGTGTACCGTGACGTCACGGGCTTCTGGATGATAGCCTTAGGTTACAATATTTGGCTTTTTATCAAATTTCGCGGTGAATTATGGCAAAGATTAACAATTTATCTTGCGATGTAAACAAACATCGAAGATTTCGTGTTAGGGTGCAAACATTGTTGTAGTCAAAAGAATATCTTAGATATTCGTTGGTTGTAGTGTTCGCCTAAATCGGGTTTTCATCCGCAGAGAACCCGTTGGCGCTTCGGGAAAGAACCTGTTGGCGCAGTTGCATTTTTACTCGCCAAGCTCGCGGTTCATCGACGATGAGCCGAGCCGTAAATGTAATTAATATTTTGTAAACGTGATTTTTAGTGCATGTAAAATGCATTTTTACTCGCCAAGCTCGCGGTTCATCGACGATGAGCCGAGCCGTAAATGTAATTAATATTTTGTAAACGTGATTTTTAGTGCATGTAAATTCAAGTTAACAAACAAAACAAGCATATGGTAGTAAAAATTCACAGATAATAAGCATGTAGATGTAAAACTAACCGGTTAAACGTGATATACGAAAATAAATTTGAATTAAATTCAAGTTAGCACAGAAAAGAATATATTAAGCATAAGACAATATATAAGGATTTATAACGGAAATAAAAATTCATTTAAAAATATAAATTAAATGTATTGAAATTAACCGGTTAAACGTGAGAAACGAAAAAAAATTGACTTAAATTCCAATTAACACAGAAAACAATATATTCCTTACATCAGCAGTGGTTTGCTAATTTTGATGACCATGGTGATGCATCAAACTATTCTGTCATCTTAGATAATCAATAATATTTTTTTTATTTCAATTTAATAGCATTAACAATATATTATCTTGTTAAAATTTTACGCCATAAAAATTGATTTATTCTCATAATTTTAGATGACAATAACCAATAATAAAAATAAAAGCATTATTTAAAATGCACATGCATATTTTTGCGGCCTACGGAAACAAATTATTTTAGAGGTTGGAAACCTCATGGTTCTTAGAGCTGTTAATAATTAAGAACACACAACGTGAACAGCCGTGTTACAATAGCATTCACCCCTCCCGCCGTATTTTTTTCCTTTCATCCCGAACCGAGAACTGGCCTCTATCTACGAAAATATTTCTATCTATTCGTTGTTAAAAATTTCAAAAAAAAAAATAATAATAATAATAATAAATAAGAGAAGAATAATGTAAATCTGCACATGCGAACAACGACAGTGATATTTCAACAAAATGAACGCAAGAGAAATGGTTGCAAACTTCGAACAAGCGAATACGATAAATCGGTTGGGTTACCAGGTTTGAACTATTATCGCCAAAGTTGGCGATGTTTACATTTACCGGGTTCTCTGCCGAAGTGCTTCCAATAAATTTCTTCTGGTGATAATTCAGTTAAAATCACTGACAAAAGTTTGATAGGACATGTGAGAACTTCCATTGCAGTGTTCTTTGAATTAACATTTATTTCCTGCTAAACATATTATAAATAAAAGAACAAAACAATCTCAATTTTTAATATCTCTGTTAGCACTTCATATAATTTTTTTAGTGGTATGAAAAAATTTTGTGCATATTGATTTAAAACTATTAAAATCAGATACAAAACTGAGTTTTTTTTTTTTTTTTTTTTTTTTTTTTTTTTTTTTACGAAAGCACTGAAATGAAACTGTTAATTATAAAAATACTATTTTAATACTGAATTTTGAACGCATTTTTTCTGTTGATAATTTAGTTAATCGTAAAATGACTGTGCTTTCGCATAATTTAACATCATTTGTGAAGTGAATGACACTAAATTTCAGATGTGATAATTTTTTAAATTGTTTCTGCCTCTGAAATAAAAATTTATTCTAATGTTTTGCGAGTTTTTAAGTGTATCAAAATGTCAATGTTCCATCGGCACTTGTGCAGAAACATGGGAAATTGACTCATCGTTTGTTGTTTTGTAATTATTATGTCATTTAATGTGAGCAAAATGTTGCAATGTATTTGATTTTTTCCTTGATGAATTTGAAATTATGAAAAAATAACGTATGGTGTAGATGATGACAGAAATTTTTAATGAATGAATTTAGAAACTGTAAGATGAAAAGAATTTTACCTTTGATCTGATTCACAACTGCATGTCACAAAAACATACTTCATAAAGTATGCCGAAGTTTTATTCCTTGCAAAAAACATGATATCTATTATTCAAGTTTGTGATCAGAGAATTATTATAGAGCAATGAAAGAATATGATCTTCGTGAGGTGAGCTGTATCTTTCATAATGAGGAAAATTTGGAGTTTTATTCCTTGCAGAAAACATGATATCTGTTATTCCAGTTTGTGATTAAGGAATTTTTATAGAGCGATGAAAGAATATGATCTTCGTGAGGTGAGCTGTATTCTTCATAATGTGGAAAATTTGGATGAAAGTGCAAATGAATTAATAAGGACTAACCTCCTTGGTGCATTTTCTGCATCTTCTAAATACATATTTTGAAACCATGTTTCAGAAAACACAATAATAAACTGTTTTAAGCAGGATAACTTTTACTGATGGCAAAATCAGTCACTTCCCCAAACAGATCCAAGTACAAAATATGAAAAAAATGTCTTTGAATATGATGATGAGAAAACTTTCTTACTTATTATTCCTCAAAACTGTCTCACCCAGTGCTCATAAACTGTGTATGAATGAAATTTTTCATGACAACTGCATGCTCTCCACTATTATTGAATTTTTAGCTCTTATTTCTTAATGAAAGTCCTGTGGAAACATGCAATTTTATATTTCTATTATACATCCATTTATTTAGTTAAACTGTATTGCAATTTCCTTGGGCATATTTCTCATCATTTAATATTATGATTCAGTTTTTGCTATCAACACAGATATGGACGAATGTAATGATATGCAAAACAGTGTGTGCTTTTTTTGTAGAAAATGCAATCGAACTTCCCAAAGAGAATAACCTCTTACTTAAATAGATTTGTCTTATGGGAGTGGTTATCTAAGAAAATATGCTATTAGTGATGTTCTATTATCAGCCATTATTTTATTTTATATCAAGTATGCTAATCATTTGCAAAGGACCTCTTCACATAAATTTTCTCTCCATTATACATGTATAAATCAACTAGTTGAATGCTTTGGCATAATCAATAAAGTATTACTACTTGCACAGTGATGTTTTGGTAAAAGTATATTTACGAGTACCCATTGGTGATTTTTGGCGGCACATGGATACCGAGTTTGTGCACATTGACCTACATAAATGCGACATGAAAAATTACAAATTATGATCAGAACAAGAGAGTTATAATAAAAACATTGGTATAACAAATACATTTGTTAATGGAAAAAAAAACATCACAGAATTGCACAAAACTAGGCATTGTGCACTGCCTTGACTTTCTTTATCCATGTAAACGTTGACCTATTTTCACTTAAAAAATCACCAGAGAATTGCAGAAACTTGGCATTGTTCACTCCCTTGACTTTATTTACTGACTGAGTATATTTACGGATGTACAGAACATTCAACTACTCAACAATCAACATAAATGAAACAACAACTTGGCAATAAATGAAACAACATCTTCGCAATAATACAAGGGGTACCCTTCAGTCTACTCTAACCGATGCTTTATATAATTGCCTGTACTTCTGATGAAATGATATTGTAGCTTTTGCTTACAATATTTTATCAATAATTATTTTCTTTTCTATTAAGAGCATGTATAGCCCTCACTGTACCTTTATTTACCTTATCTTTATGATGTGCATTGCTATGCTTAATTTGACATTTTTATATCTGCTTTCTATTTTAAATATTTTTCCTCCTCTTTTTTTTTTTTTTTTTTTTTTTTTTTCAAAACTCCTTAAAGGATGGGTCTTTGGGAGGAAAAAATTAATGTCTCCTAAAGTGTCATGTGCTGTTCTCAAAGTGGGCCAATCTTTTTTTTTCCTGCTTTTTTATTTTCAGCTTTCTTGCAGAGATAATCTTTTTAGCTCAAAGGGGCAATTTGCCCAGAAGGGCTATTAATTTTGTTTTGGCATTTTGCGTTGATTCATTATAAATGGTGAATCACTTTTTCAATTGTTGCCACCAAATATTAGAGTATTATATTTAAAGAAGTTAAATAATGAAGAATCTGCGTAAATGTATGTATGTTTCTCACATTGTGATGAAACAACTGTTCCTAAAGCCATCAAATTTTGAATAATGTATGCCTCCACCTGAATATGGGCATCTGGAAACCCGAATTTGGAAATTTTTTTTATGTATTTCATATTTTGTAAAGCATTTATAAGTCTTTGATTAAGAAACTCAATGATTTCAAAGTGAGCAATAGCAACTCTGTATGGGGGAGGGAACATTTTTATCCCCAATGTGCGAGACTGTGTGTAACGCATTTATAAGTATTTGATTAAGAAACTCAATGATTTCAAACTGAGCAATAGCAACTCTGTATGGGGGGAGGGAACATTTTTATCTCCAATGTGCGAGACTGTGTACCAGGAATTCGAAAGACATGCTCTTTTAAATATTTGTGATATTGCTGTTGAATTGAATTTTATGATTTAAGTGTGAAGAACATGATATTTAATAAATAAAGATAACACACAAAATGTTAAAAAAAAAAAAAAAAAAAAACCTCAGGGCATAATATAAAATCTGAAAGCTTTCAGTTTATTTTATTTATTTATTTTCAAAAAGTAGTCAATGGTTGATCATGTTCAGATAAATGACTTGGTGGTTTCACAAAATGAAATTTGCTGTCTGGTTCCGAAACGAAAAGTGTAAAACAGATCTGATGAATTGGAAACGGATGAGTAATTACATAACGAGATATCACTCAAAAAAAAGTTGCACTAAATGTATTTAATATGATACATAATTTGCTATTTTTATTTTCTTTTATATGAACTGTTGATAAATTATGATTAGTCATGTATACTTCAGATTGAAACTGCTTTGTGAAATCAGGTAAGGTATGAGGATTGAATATTAAAATTATCATACACAAACTTAAGAGCGTATTTCATTTCTTAAATGAGTTGAATGAAAATTTTAAATGGGTGAATTATCTGTTTTCTTGGTACATTCACTCTGCTAAAACAGATTACAATATTTGGATTTTATTTTTGCCTTGTGATTTGGTGCAGTTTTTTTAATCAAAATCAATTAAATTACTACAAAAATTCAA